GTCAGAATCATTTATCTTCTTCTTCTTAGTCGGTACACTCTTGCCAGAGTGGTCGTGGCCAACATTTTGAATCACGATGAGTGAGGTTTTTGGTAATACGGCGCCATTCGTCGCGGACTGTAGCTTTCCGGGTACATTCGTAAACTGAGCACTTAGTTGCGGCCTTGATCTGGTCTGTCCATCTCATTGGTGATCTACCACGTGGCCTGGTGCCTTCCACTTTTCCCTGCACTACGAGACGCTCTATGGAGTCATTACCACCTCGAGATACGTGGCCGAAGAAGGTCAGAATGCGTGATTGCACTGTGGTTGATAGGCGCTGTCTGATGCAGAGTTCTTTTAATATGGAATCATTTGTACGAAACTTTGTCCACGATATTCCTAGCATCCGTCTCCAGCACCACATCTCTAACGCATCAACTTTTTTCTTCTTCGTTTCACGAAGAGTCCATGTCTCCGACGCATATAGGAAAATGGGGAATATTAGGCAATAAACAAGTCTAGTTTTCGTTGCCTTGGTAATGTTCCTATTACGCCAGATCTTTTTCATTTTATTCATAGCAGACCTAGTGATCGCCATACGCCACTTGATTTCGTCTATGCACCCGCCTTCATTGGATATTAACGCCCCAAGGTAAATGTATGATCGTATAACCTCGCAATTCCCTATGTGTGTGATCCCTGGTAAGTTGTTATTGGCGCGGTCAACAATTATCATTTTGGTTTTAGAGCGATTTATTTTCAATCCATATTCACGGCTTATAGCCTCCATCTTATGCAGCAGATCTTCCATGTGACGAGCACTAGTTGCGAATAAGGTCGTGTCATCCGCGTATCGTAAGTTGGAGATTCTACCGCCAATTACTACTCCGTCCGTCCAATCCTCCAAGGCAACTCTCATTATCATCTCTGTATAGATGTTGAACAGTAGGGGTGAGATTATGCAACCTTGGCGTACTCCTGCATCAGGATGAAAATCATTCGACAGTGTTTCATCTGTTCTGACTGATGCTGATCCGCTCTCGTATAGACGCCTGAGTAAGTGCACAAGGTGTTTCGGCGTGCCTAGATCCAGCACAGATCTCCATAAGACTGGCCATTTCACCGAGTCGAACGCTTTCGAGAAATCAACAAAGCAAATGTACGTAGGCTTATTGAACTCTCGCGCTTTCTCGATGATCTGTCGTACAGTAAATATTTGCTCGCGGGTGCCTTTTCCTTTTACAAAACCTGCCTGTTCAGGGGCAATTTCTTTCGAGAGGAAGGTCTTAAGGCGCTCATTCAGAATGTGAAGCAGTATTTTACTTGCGTGGGATATTAAAGCAATGAGTCTATAATTACTGCACACTTTTGTGGAACCTTTCTTATGAATGGGTATGAAGATTGTATGAACCCATTCTTTTGGCCATGTACCGGTCTGCCAGATTTTATTGCATGTTGTATGAAATATGTGGACACCGTGATCTCCAGCAGCCTTTATTACTTCTATCGGGATGACATCTATACCAGTAGCTTTTCCAATTTTTAGGTGTTTGATAGCGGCACGTACCTCTTCTTTAAGAATGTCTGGTTCTAATTCATTCCCTGGTTCCGTTGATGGAAATTCACGTGAGTTTGGAACTTGAAACAAAGCCTTACAGTAAGTCCTCCATCTTTCAGATATCTTGTCTATTTCCGTAACCAGTTCCCCGTTAAGATTTTCTATAGCCCAGATCTTCGATGAAAGAGCCCTTGTTAATGACCGGATCTTCCGATGGAGGTCTCTGGTTTCGTATTTGTCTGCATGGACTTCAAGTTCTGCATAGATGTTTCGCAGGTTATTATTTAGATCTCGCCTGCATGCTGCTTGGATTTTAGCAGAGAGGTTATTCAATTTTTTGATGTTAGCACCCATCGCTTTAAGTCTTCGTCTCTCCTCAACAAGCCCCAGAGTTTCATCGCTCATCCAGTGTTGCCGCTTTAAAGACGTCGAAGTTGCATCACACTCCCTAACTGCGCTGTCCAAAAGGATTTTTGAACTGATCCACAGTTGATCTGAACTGTGCCCAGCCGACTCCGTACCAATCCATTGAACCCAATTTTTCTCAAGCGCCGTTATAAATTTAGTGTTGTCCTTCACCTCTATTCTACGTTGTTTATTTATTTTTCTAGCTGCTTTAAGTTTAAGCTGCATCCTTGAGACCAGCAGCTGGTGATCTGATCCGCAGTCGGCCCCGGGAAAAGTATGAGCATTTTTTATAGAAGTCTTCCACCTTGCTCTGATGAGGATATAATCTATTTGATTCTTATAATTACCGTCTGGTGATACCCAGGTGTATAATCTTCGTGGATGGTGACGGAAGAAGCTGTTTGCGATCATCAAGTTATTTTCGGCTGCAAATTGTATTAAGCGTTCCCCCCTCTCATTACGCTTGCCCAATCCATATGGACCCACGACATGGCTAAGAGTTTGAGCATTTTCACCAATTTTGGCGTTTAGATCTCCAATTATCGTAAGCATTTCCCTGTTTGGAATTTTTGAGATGGTTTTTTCCAGGTCTGAATAGAAACTTTCCAACATATCATTACTAGAAGAGCTCGTTGGTGCATAAACCTGTATATGTTTAGGTTTATGGGCATAGCCTTTAATTTTATGCTCAGTATTCTGTCACTCACTGGTTCATAACCCAGAATGCAATGTCTTAAAGAATTCGGTAGCAAAAAAGCGACTCCGTTTATGCTTTCAGTATCATTTCCAGAGAAATAGATGGTGTTCTTATCAGTGAGGAAGTGGCCATGACCTTTCCAGTGGATCTCACTAAGGCCGCAGATTTCGACACCACATCTAAGTATCTCTTCCTCCAAGATTTTAAGCTTTCCAGCCATGAGTAAGCCGCGCACATTCCATGTTTCTATCCTCTTGTTTTTTCGCAGTTTAATAAATTTTCCAGTAGCAGAATTTCCCTGCGATGCCTGGTCTACCACAGCCGCATGGCCGGTAACAAATTTCCCACCGTCTGCCCCGGACGCAGTACGGCGCCGGTTGCTAGGCGGATCACATAGCGATCTCTTATTCTTCTCTTGTGAAACTTTCATGATGACTTTCTATGGGAATTTAGTGCAGTAGTTTCCCCTTGCTTTCTGCACCAGACATTTTTGACGTTATTTAGACTTCAAGGTTGCTGCAGCCTCTTCCGCCCAGTCGCCCGGACAGGTGTATGGTTATACCGCCATTTCTCGGTCGCCAGAGCCTCGTCTGTTATCTAGCAGGGAGCGCCACGGTAGCTACTAGGGAACTAGAACTACCGTCGTTGGCTATTCATACGAACCACCGACGCGGGCAGGTGAGGTTGACAGTTGGGCCGACAAGATGGTTTGCGTCGTTATCCCTTTACTCCCCTTTTATACACAGAATCATTTATACACAGAATATAAAAGTATTTTTTTTACTATCTACTATCCCTACCATCCAATTTTTTTTTTCAAGAAACTTAATTCGGAAATTTTTTATTTAATCAGAATGTTCACCAGGCCATTAAACTTTTATCAAAGATCTCCTTGATTGCGTTTTAACAACTTAAGAAAACGGTTTTCTATAACCGTAACAAAATTAGTATGGTCGTGATCTTGTCAAAAAAATTATCATGATAAATATCCCGTTATACAATGTCTAAATATGTAAATAACCACGAAAAAGCAACTGTGAAATATTTTAAAACAAAGTTTATACATTTATTGACAGCAATTGTAGAGTCTGAAGGTTTACGGAGGCTGCTGTCAATTTTGATGTGTTGTCACATTTATTTTTGTGTAGCGAAACAGCCTTTCTTGACGTGTGACAATCTTAATTATATCGATGAGTGTTACGTTAAAGAAAGGACGATTTCATTGTGGTCAAGAACAATTAGTAATCGGTGAGACAACTTGAAAGAGTAATTAGTACAAATAAACATACTCATTAATATTGCTAATATTATAAATACGAAAGCGTGTCTTTCTCTCTCTTTGTTTATCTAATTAGTACCTTTTTACAATTAAACAGCCAAACTAATCTTAATTAAACTTGCTCTAAGATAGATTATACCGCGACCACGGGAACAAGGTATATGTTACCTCAAAAACAAACGAAGTGGCAGATAATAGAGTACTAACATCACAAAAACATCACAAAACATCACAATTAACATCACAATAAATATTTTTGTGATGTCCGTGGTGCTATTGAGTATTTGACAGTATTTTATGATAAAAAATAATTTCTATTGAATACTAAAATTTCCACTTCTGACCTTATATATTAAGTGAAGATTGTTTTTAAGAGATTGTAAACAAAATATGACTACAATTTTGTTTGTAAAATCTGTCACTCATCCATTTTTTCTTTTGTTTCCTTCAGATAGATCAACGGTATTGCAAATCTTAGAATTACATTAAACGATATTTCAATTTCGCCAATCAAGGTTATTGTTTTTTGACTGGTTTCTCTTTAATGTTTTGTCACATTTATAAATAGGTATTTAATAAAATAATGTGTATATTTTGTAATTTAAAATAATAGTAGTTGTCTAATTCATTACAAATGTACAGTACTCTGTATGCTTTACTCAGCCAACGGTAGTGGGTACTAAAATATGTTTCATGCTTTTTTATCTTTAAATGTATTAAATAAAATTATTTTTTAATACTTACAATACCCACAGTTTCCATCCTGTTTTACAGAGATAACACTAATGTTTTATAAAAAAATATTTAAATAAACCAGTGAAATATAAAATAGATGTATTAAATCCAAGTTGATTTCACAATATAAATTACTATGCATTTTCTATCGGTAATAATCTCTTTATAAAATTTATACAAAACGAATAAAATATAATTTTATTAATATTACAAAAAGGTGCACCAATGTCTAGCGTATGAGTTTTAAGGCTTTGCACTTCGTGCAGGCTGCGCTGGAGTGGATCAAGTCATAGAGTGTCGCCGGCCGGCAGCAACGCGCATAGTACACCCGCGTCGCTCTTTGTCGGCGCACGCGCACGTAGCTGATACGCGAGCCGTATATAAGGACATGCACCCTTCGCCTAGTCCATTTTACTTCTTCTACTTCTGAAGAAAAGTGTCAGAAGTTACATAAAAAAATAAGTGAAAAATGTCTGTAGAAAATATACTCTTGGATGATCGTCACCATCATGATGACACAGAAGGTGTGGTGCTGGCTAAAGGAATTTCTATGCTGGTACTGTTTATCGCCTCCATGATATGTGGCCTGGCTCCTCTGGTGCTGTCGAAGAAATTCAATTGGATCACAGCAGACGAGGCCGGCAATTTGAAGTCCACTAACAGAGTGGTCATGACTCTCCTGTCCTTTGGTGGTGGCGTCCTTTTATCTACCACATTCCTGCATCTGATGCCTGAAGTTCATGAAAACGTCGAATATTTACAAAGTGAGTGATATTATAAAAACTAGACTAATATATGTACATGATTCACTGTTTATTTCTTCTGTTATAAGTAGGTTCTATAAATTTATTACTAATAGACAATTTAATTGATTACTAAAGAAAAAATGTTTCTTTATTTAATATATTTAATTAACTTCTTAAATATTTAAGAGATAAAAGGTTATTGGCATAGGTATCATTATATCATAAGCATCCTTTTATTAATCATAGCTCATATTTTGTTCGTTTGCCCTAAAGTATCAATGAAAAACGTATACTTTTATTGAATTAAAAACTTTGCTCTATTATTTCGTAGTCGTAAAAAAAATATATTTGATTAAACCATAGATGTTTATACAAAATAAAACAGAGATTTCTTTATTAAGAAATCTAAAATTATGATTTAGTTACTTAATATATACAAGTAACTAAATCATAATTTATGTTTGATTAATACATTTAAGTCGATGTTTCTGTATAGAATACAGTAGATACGATCACGGAATACAAGAAGAATTAAAAGTATTGCATGCATGCAATGAAATCTCGATTACCTTGATGTTGTAGCGGTATTAAGCCATTCATTCGACCTCTCCTACAATTTACGATCACGTACGAACTTACGAAGAGATTTTTAAACGAGAAACAGGTGTCGTAACAACTCGCTAATGACTGAAAGGAAATAAATGAACACCGATACAAAAGCTGGTGTAATGATCTTTTGTAAAATGGCATGCAAAGATTGTAAAGTACCTATATAATATATTTAGGTACTAATAAAAAGTAATTCAGTATTTTTCCCAATTAGTAGTATAAAATATATAAAGTATTAAATTTGTTTTTTTTAATAATTCAAATTACGCCAATGGTGGAACTGCTAGTATCATCCGAGGCTAGTGACAAAATCACAGGATGGTTCTCTACTTTGATTTAAAACATACAATTTATGAAAATGCAGCACATTGTGGTTTCTTAAATTGATTAAAGTAAACAATTTTTTAGTAAATTATGCAACATATATATATATATATACCTATGTATATTATAAATATAAGTTAGATTCTTCCTGTGTCTGTGGTTTGATCCTGCAAAACACCAGTGGTATTTGGCCGGTTCTGCCACCCTATTGTTCCGTCATTACATTCATCACATTATGCACTTTCAATACGTATTTGATTTTACTGTAGAAAGAATCTTTATTATCATCATTATTTATTTGTAGATTATATATGTTATTTTAATAACAGTTTAAAGTTTATAAATAGTTTAAAACTTTAACATTGTATACAAACATTTTATTGAGACGACAGGTAAAATCTATTAAGCACAATAATTAACTATTCACAATTATGTAAATTATACTACACGTGTTAATTATTTCATTGTAATAGCCGTCAAGTTTTCTGGCTGTTGAAATAAGCGTATAATTTATACGCATAAGTAAAATGTAAGGAGATTATCTTTCATTTAATTCTGCGGAAACATCTGGCGGATTATCCGAGTTTGCTAATGGGAACAAGTTATATTGAACCTGTATGTGAACTTTGAAATATCTGTTGAATTATTCATCCCATCAGCCTCTGTGAACCCTTATAAATTAGGACACATATTGACTTGGTTTTAATTTATGAAAGTATCCAATATGCCTCGAGGGTAAATATCTTAAACAACAAATATCTAAATCTATGTACATATCCAAAAATGTTATTTACTTTTTATATTTTTTTATGTTATTGGAATAACAAACGAGCTGACGATCCAACTGATGAAACGTACGTCTATCCTATTTACATAAACAGCACTGTCACAGAAAAAGTATTAATATTCTATGGCACCACATACATTAGACAAATTATGAATCACCTTTTCTATAAAACTAAGTATAATCTAAATAGCATAGAAAACAAGCATACAATATATAATCACAGATCATACGTTTCCTATAGTTTAAAATTAAGAACTGAATATTTTTAATGTTCAATTGTTTTGATGAGAATATTATCTATTAAATTACGGCACGATTGTACGAGTATGTATTATACCAATGCTGAGTAATATTATATTATCGAATGCGCCGCCCACGGTACATATCATATCACCAGAGGCAGACAGAGACAGATATGATGACGTGTAAATAACTACAACAAATTGTATGAATACTTGACGAGTAGTCTAGCACTTTATAGGACGTTATGCCTTTATTGCTAGTGCTCCTCTGATCGTCCCCGGTCTAATTCAAACGCGAATCGAAATTATGTACTATGTCCTAAGCTTAGGTTCCAACTTCTAGCGGTGCCCTCAGACTAAAGTCGTATCCGTTAGATAGGAGTTGGCTCTCAGCCGCTGCATAATTCCTTCCGCGGGTTTGGAGCCATCTGCACTCATTCTCTATCACATAATGAAGCTGTAAGAGTCACACAATTTGAAGATTATTATATATTAAATAGGATAGTCATCGTTAACAGTCGACGTAAATTGAAACATTTGATTGTCATTTTTATATAAATGCTATGGCAAACAAGCTGAGAAACCGACTACTAGTACTGTCAACAAAATATTGTTGGTGTCTGACAGATTCGATACGCTACGCTCTCTACCTAATCATTAGAACTAAGTAATACTAACTATAAACTACTATAGTAATTTCATAACACATCCATATACCCATAGGTATATGGATGTGTTATGAAATTTTGTAATGGTAAAAATAAATAACAAGTCCATAAATGTCAATTACCATGTGTAATAGATACAACATTTAGGTCAATATGCATACTGTTTACGATCATTTTACGCAATCACAGGACTACATTATTAGCTTTACTAAATGACAAGTTTGTTTATATGGCATCTTCAGATGAGAAACACTAAAACTGTAGGTATCTAGTAGGTACAGAATATAAATGAGTGTATACATATCACTACAACCTGCGACTTCATCTGCGTTTTTTTGATACGTAATATATTAGTTCTAAGTCTGTCCTTGGAGTCCGTCATTATCTACGTTCATGTCAAATTTCATTACAACCCGTTCAACTGATTAGTCGTTAAAATCTAGCAGACAGACTGACAGACACACTTTCATATTTATAGCATTGTTGACTGTCGACTATGACTGTCTGCATTTTTTAAGATAAAAGATATCTTCATGCTAAACATTAAGAGACCCATTAAACCGATTAGGCGTGATTCGTGAATCCAATTAGTGACGGAGATATATATTTATTGACAGAAAAACATAACTCGCATTTATAACATTTTATATATATTATGGATATAGTAACCATAAACACAACTTTTATTTCATGTATTTTCAATTTCAAATCCATTATATTTCTATTTTTTTATTACCTACACATGTCTATTAACAGTCATATATGTATATATCACTGTATCCCATATACTTTGTATTATGTATAGTGTGATAACGGAAGAACAACTAATTGTTATTAGAAATAAACGATCTGGCAGACAAGACAAGATTCAGAGAAGACAGCGACTTACATAGATCTATTGTGCTCGCCTTTTTTCAGAGTTCGCTGCCTAGACCCATCAGGGACAAGAAGGATATTCTTAGGAACGATGGTTTTTATCTCCTCGGGGAAGGAGTAAACTTTCCAAAGGATATATTTCGTTTATGCATGAGTAGGCTACAACAACATAGAATGTGTAGTGGCGTTTCCTCTTCAGTTTGGCAAAATCTGCAGATTTTTGTTGTGCGTACGCCTAGTTTTGCCATATGCTTGTAGGTATACAGTTGGTTTGTTTTGCTATTAGATATCTATTTAATTGTATATTACATTAATGACACACCGGAGGAACCGGAGCTTAATGTTGAAATCCATCATATAACATTTGAGTAAATTTACAAATACATATAGGTACTTCATTGAAATAATGTTTTTATGGAAAAATACCACAGACTGTAATGAATTTCGTGTTTCTGTGGTCTCTGTATCTTTTCAATAACGATTTGTAATCGGTATTTTAATATTTATTTATTACAAACAATAATATTATTCATTTTATTCATGTTTAATATTTTTGTAACTATGTATTTCCTTCTATTCCATTCATGCGTCATCACAACACTTCTTGACACCTACTATTTTCCCCCTCTAGGTATCCAAAGATGTCTATAAAATATAATTTAAAAGTATATTATGTTCATTTTAATATATTTTATTTTTTCGAACTATTAAAATATTTAAATTAAAGAAATATTGTTATCATATTACTATTGCCACAGTTTTTTTTTTCAAAAGGTTAATCAGTCGATTTTTTCTTTCTCTATCTTATCTCTATATTAATATATTTCAGTGCTGCTTAATCCTAGATTGTTCTTGCCCTGTGCAATTTGTTTGTCTAGTCTGAATTCACTCGTGCTGTACGCATTTGATTGCGTCCTTGTGATTTTAAGCAACAGTATCGGATAATAATATTGTCTATTTCAATAACATCTTGTTATATTTAGCCAGTTCTGTCCACTATTGTTTTATCATACATTTTGCACTACTACAAGTATTATCCCGAGTACTATTTTCTATTCAGTATTCGGAGAAATTAGTATTGTAGTACTAAATTGAAAAGTAGTACTTTGAATAAATTTAATGAAGCTTCCTTCATTACTTTTATTTACAGTTCATTGATTATGTAACTGCATTGATAAAATAAAAATAAAACATAAAAGCTTCTCTATAGAGGTTTTACATAAAACGTAAACGTTTTAATTAAAATGTTCTCCAGATAATATAATCTTATGTTTCATAAGGATCTGCAACACACTCGTCATACCCCTGTATGCTACAGTGAACAGGATGCGTTCACTATCAGATTTAACCACAGATAACATAATATTACATAGATTTAACACAAGAATAGTTATGATGAATAATAGTTGTGATGATGAAAAATTCACAAATTCATTAACTATCGACCTATTTTATAATATGTATTACAGCAGCATTATACTGTAATCATTAGCAGGCGTTATATATGAGTAG